ATGAAATTGAAAAATAAAATTTCGTTTGACCACAAAAAGTGATAAATGTAGCAAAAAACGCTATGTTTTTGCTCATATTACTCGATTTAGTTAAAAAGTCTGACGTAATGAGCATCTTTTGCTGGACGGATTTGGATTCAGTGATCTTAAATTTACTAATAAATACTAGCAAACAGACAAACAAATATCAAATATTGAAAATATGGCTAAATTCCAACATTTGACCTTCAATATCTCAAAAACTATCAGTTTTTGGACCTCGTGCTCATGAGAACTTTTGATCTGGACATCATGATCTACATTATAGTAAAATTTCAACCAATTCGACTGGAATTCATTTTCCGTCAGATTTATGCGTAGTCTTTTTGTCGGACAGCGTAATCTATGAAGCAACTTGAAGATAAAAATAAATGAACTACGTCCCAGCAAACACAATGTTACGTGTAATGTATGTAACACACAGTGTTATATTACAGTTATCTTGTTTTGCTGACATTTCATGTTACATGTACATTACATGTAACATTTTGTTTACTGAGGTAATTTATGTCCATTTCTACTAATGTAGATTAACTGCAATTTCGGTTTAATTTATTCTTTGGTTTTTCTAATTTTTAGAACTAAAAAAAAGGTAAAATATAAGTTAAAACAAGATTAAAATTAATAGATAGTTGATAGAAATGAGCACTAAAGTTTATCTCATCTGCATCTGGAATAATATTAGAACCTATATGTATTCGGAAAGTGGATACAATCGAAATTCTAGATTGAGGTGTTTAATATCTAACAAAAAGCTTTTATTTTATTCAGTAATATAAATATAATTTCGAAATAAATACACATATGAGAGTAATAACTTTTAAATATAATGATAATTATTTTGTATTTTATACAAAATTCATATCAATTTGATCTCAATTGCACTTTTTGGAAAATTGCTGTTGTCGTTTGCCTTTGTACAGACGATTATGCACCATGGTCCGAACGTGAGGTTTTGCTTCGTGTTATTATATTAGATAGAGCAAAAGATAGTTCAAAAAAAGGCGAAAATGTCTTGAAAAATTATAATGTAACGTATTCATAGTCCAAATATATAATTTACGTTCCACTTACAGCGCTGTTCTCATTTGCCACATTATTATTACTTTATACAATAGTTTGTAATTAAACTTAAATACATTAAGCTTTACTGTAACTAATAAGTGATATTTGTCACTTCAGGGAATAATAAATAAAATTATATTTATTTTTTCTTCTAAGGCCTTTTAATTTTATTAATCATTTATAACCAAGTTAATGTACAAATATTATATTAATATGTTGATACTATCATGTTTAATAAATATCATGATGACTCAAAGATATAAATAAAATGCTATAATTAAAGATCTCCATAAACACAGTCATAAAAAATAGACACATTTTGCGTTTCAAAGTACATATAATTTTGAAACTGTTGATTATGATTTTCAAATTTTTATATATTTATAAATAAATCTTTTTACCATCAATTTAATTAAAATATTACTTAATGATTAAATTCCTTCAAATTGCATGTTTAACAAGATCAAAATGTGCATTTTAGATCTTGTTAAATAAATTTGAAATATAGCTAACATGAAATGTAGCTAACAAAAAATTATATATACATATATAAAAAAATTTCGTAATTGTTTTATAACACACACACATATATAGCATATTAATTAATCATTGTATAGCATATAACATATATTAATTATTACACTCAATTAACGCGTAAACGAGAAAGTTCGTGCAGTTACATTTATCTTTGTCAAAAAGAATTGGCAGTTACCGCTTATAAAGCACAGATCATGCTAGCGTTACAATATTGCAATAACAAATTTTGCAACAATGTTGTAAACTTTTGTACTGTATAAGTAAAGTCATTGTTACATAGTCGGTTGTGTTCCTGCACCTTCAGATAAACTACAGAATAGCTTATCTATAAATAAAAGAGCAAAAGAGCTAGTAAACTGAGATTAATCGAACGAGAGATTAATCCAGCCTTATTCCCTTCAAGATTGCATAGATACACGCATTGAGCTTCGGTGCCGTATTTACAAACGCACATGTATACATTTGTTCCGGTATGCATATCTTTTCCGGTTCTATATAAACGGAAAAAATAAAACTATTAATTCTTAGATAACTATATATTATATATAAATGCTCGAAATATGTTGTTTTTACTTCGGGTGTCGACTTTTTTTTAACAGGACCACGCACGACGAGGCCTTCATGTAAGGTCTCAGGTATATATATTTATGTGTCATCTTAAAATCTGGACTGTGCTTTCTTTTCATAGCTCATCTTATCTTTTTTCCTCGTGTCTATTATTAAATCGAACCATCCGGAGCGACTATTGCCCATTTCTATACCAGTTAACTTTACTCTCGATACCACTTACTCGGCTTACTTTTCATCTTTTTCTAATTTATAGGAAAAAACAAAAGTAAGTAAAACTTAGATTAAAATCTATATTTATTATATATTAGTAAAGATGGATATAATTTGTTTAAAAGGTTAACGCACATTTAAACAAAGTTTAAAAAATAATCACACAATAGGTTTGTTTTTTACCTTGAAATCTCATAAAATATAAAAAAATTTTGTTTGTGAAAAAAATCTGTATGCTTATCATAATATTTGTTTCTTTGAAACTAACAAGCTTTCTTTTTAATGTTCTTTTATATTATTATAAACAACACAGATATTCTAAGTGCTCAAGTTAAACAAAACACTTTGTATAGTCCAATTTAATAAAAAAAGATGATAAAAATAATGATGAAATCAAGAAATCTTATTGTGATTTATACATGAGGAGACATATCATCGCATATTTAATACTGCTTTCCAAAACTTTGCACATTCGAGGACAGTAAAAGTTTTCTGAAAACGGATTATGCATTCCTTGATAATATTGTCAAGGAATGCATATTATCGCTACGGTATGCAATTTTACATACGAACGCAACGTAAATCGCGACTTTGTTGCTTGCATAGCTATTATTACATATATAATATGTAAAGTGATTTTCTTATCGCGAATATACACGTGTATGTAGTTGCCATTTACGTCTATAAAAATCACACATACAAATATTGACCGACATAATAATCAACGAAATAAAATCAACAAAAATCAATTTATTTCTAATTTTCATTAAAATAACGCTTTATCTATGGAAATTACACAACTTTGTTGATAAACCAACGTTTTATTAGAAGTCGTAAATTTAAGAATGCTCGTGATTTTCTCACATCTTGCGAAAAGTTAAAAGAAACTAAAGTAGTTGTATCGTAAAATGACTTTTCTAAAGATTTGTTTGAAGCTTTTACTATTTGAAGATAATGATGTTCTCTATACATACGTATCATTTTGAGAGGGAATAACCAGGCATGTTCAAAAGATAATTGCATTCGAAGTTAGTACGTTTATTTTGGATTAAACATTATGTAGTTTATTTTCAATTTTAAATAAATCATAAAATTTTATTTAATGAAACAATAACATCGAGATACTACTATTAGGGTAACTCCGGTATATACGCCGCACCTATTAAAAACTTAATTTATTAAGTATTATTTACTATGTTTAAAATAAACGAACTATATCAGTAAAAACTTTGTACTATCCACTATGAAAAAAATATTAGAAATCCGAAATATTATTTTTCGTATTAAAAAATAAACTTTTTGAAATATTTTGCATTTTTGCTATATATAGATAATGGGTGGGATATATGGCAAAAATGCAAGGGTTTCAATAAATTAAATAAAGAATACGAAAGTAAAGCACTTGTATTTTGCTATATATAACATGCTTTACTATTCCTCTACACGTATGTATCACGAAATAACCACTAGGTCTTTTACACGCCTTACACATGTGCCTTTAACATGTGCTAGACAAGGAGTTTCCTGTGCCAGACAAGGAGCGACAGTAGTTTTTCAATTATAGCGCAATAACGATATTTAGAAATTCGCTCAAAAACTAAAGGATTATAGATAAATAGAATATCCTAAACCGAAGAAAATGGGGGGTAATCAGGCAAATATTAATTATAAAATCTTAGAAAGTTGCTTTACTACTTAATTCACTAAAATTCACTTTGCTTATTAACTCATTCTCAAATACTAGCGCACAGTGGGGAAATAAAAATTATTCTTCAAAAATTGCGATCTGCAGCAATTTTTTAACAGTAATTTTTTTTACCGTCGAATGGTGCCCTCATGCGTTAACGCTTCGGGCGATTGCCTTCTCATAAGCCGCTCCTATGTGATACAATCACCTTAAGACAAAGTCTTTAAAAAATGTATGTGAATTGAAAACAACAACAAAAATTTTTTTTCTTAAAAACATTTTGTAAAAATGAGTTTTTAAGCGAGAAAGCAGATATCCTGAAAAATTATTACACCAATTAAAATAAAATTATTTTAAAGCTTAGAAAATCTACTTTAAAATATTTTTTTGTTAATTTTCATCATTTTAGTAAATTTTGATTTTTAATTAAACTACAATGTACTTTGAAAATTTCTCTTCTATTTTTTTTTTACTGAGATACTTTACTTTTTGTGAAATGCGAAAAAATATGTTTATATGTATATTTATAATATATACAATTAAGAATGTATCTTTATAAATATATTTTACGTTGTTTTATAAAGAGCAGTGTTTTACAAAAAAAAAATATGTATGCATTAAATGTACATTTAAAAATATCAATTTTTTAAGTAATATATATTATGTATTTAAATTATCGAGAGTATATGATAACAAAATTCTGTATTAAGCTTATTCATCACTTCACACATACAAAATATACTTTTTAATATCAAATCTTGGTATTTAAATTCTTCAATTTGATTATGACATTTTGGATTTAATGTTACGTGTTTTTACGGACATTTTATGTACGTGAATCTTCTTAATATTATTTGTCATATGTATTTAAATATACCAACATTTAAAAAAATCAAAAAGTATAGTCTGTATTAAACGATCCCATTATAATTTCGTCAATCCAGCTTATGTACGACGAAACCCTAGTGAAAACGCCGGGTTGATTGCTAGGGCAATCTGCGTCTCCGTAACTCACAATACCGATTTGAGTATGCATGCCATTTTCCACTATAACGAGTGGGCCACCGCTGTCGCCCTAAATTAGAGTGTATTTCACTTATAGGTATTTATAGTGACTCATTTTATAGCATTATTTTACTATTTTTAATTATTTTACCTGACAAGCGTCTCGTCCTAACCCTGGTGCCGTGCAAATCTCTTTCTCAGTGACTTGGACCCAGAATTGCCTACATACAGTATTTTTAATAATCGGCAGTGCGGCGTACTGAAGTCTTGTCGAAGCTTTGCTATTCGTGTAATATTTTCCCCAACCGATCACCAAAGCAGATTTATCGTCAAAATTTTCTTCATAAGGAAGGTTTATCGGTTGAATATTTCCTAAAATAGAGAAATGTATATTTAACTATTTTTTAATATCAATGCTGCGACATTATATTAATATTCATAATATTTTTTAAGGGGAGAACCTGGTTTAAAGGGTCAAAATTTTCGATTCTTTTTACTTTAATCAATAATATTACTGTAATATTATATAAATAAATAAATTTATGAACAATTTTTCAACATATTAACATCTTTATAATATGCCTGATTGTAGCATCAAATTATTAAAATTGCTTGTCAATTTAATTCGCAATTACTAGTAGTTTAATTATGTTTATAGTCCGGAAAAACAATTCGACGCGCAGTTCAAAAGACTACAATATGATATACATATATGCAAGTATAATACATATATGGTATATGTAGTAGTTCAAGATTGAATTATTTAAGCAATGAAGATCTAGCTTCGATAGTTATAGGCAATTTAATTTCTAAGTATTAATTGTGTTCTCGCATATGTAGTTTAAAATAAAGATTCTCTCTCTCTTAATAATATTACTCTCAGAAAATATAATCGTAAAGTTAGACCAAAATTCGAAATACTTTCGTACAGCCTGAGGAACAGGTACACGTCACGCAGCGGGAGTACCCATTGTGCTCCACTTCTCGGTCCCTAGCAATATTATTATTATTGACCTTAGCAGCAGGGTTGGTAAAAGATTAATGTTTTTTTTAAGAATGAAACATATTGTGTTTCTTCTTGAATATGTTTTTAATGCTTCAAATATGCTTTAAATAGTACTATAAAAAAATATTTAAAACATATTAAAAACACCAATTAAGCATGTTTTGAACTGTTTAAAACACGCTTAAAACATATTTTTTACCAACCCTGCTTAGCAGATGTTTATTTTCAAAGAGGGCACACGCAAAACGAGAGTTTTAATTTCACCATTTGAGTTGATTCATAGTTGCTTATTTTTCGAGATATAACGGAAAAAGCTGAAAATCGCTGTATACGTAAGGGGTGATTTCACCCCTTCAAACTGTTTTTTAGCCGCAACTGATATTTTCTAAATTCATCTCTTTACGTAAGCTATAAGTTCACAAAATTTCATTAAAATCAGAATTAAACACCTCGAGAGGTTCCCTTGTAGCCGCAACAGCATACGTACACAGTGGATTTTCGAACTCGATTTTCTCGAAAACTAAGCAGAAGATCGAAAAAGTTTATTCTATATATTTTGTTTATTTTTTCATGAGGAATCACGTCGTGCCCGCTTTTACATATTATTCGGCCGGACCCTGTATAAATATACAATACCATTTTTGTGTAACTATGAAGTTTCCGCATTGATAAGACTATTTGTTATAAATAAATTGTTTTCAGTTTTCGCGTTTTTTTCCGTATAGAATAATTAAATAACATGGACGTGTAAATAGTTGCAAAAGAAAAAAGGAAGAGAAATATTAACCATTACAATACAAGGTACAATTTGGTGCCTCATTCATCCAAACATGGTCACTAGAATCCGTCTGTTTTTTTTTTTTTACCTATTCAGAGACGTGTTCTGATTCCCATCTGAGTGTTCCTCGGATGTCATATCATCCTTATTTAACATTCAGTAAACAACAAGGATGTCATGACATCCGAGCAGATGGGAATACGAACATGCTCCAGAATGGTTTAAAAAATCTCTAAAAATTCATCAACCTGCTTTCAACTTTCTAGAATAAATATTGAACTTCATTTTGGAAAATAAAATGTAGTATAATTTATAATTATCGAAAGATTCAAAGAAACTTACACGAACAGGAATCGCTCAGTCACTAATGACCCGACCTTGTACGATAAGGGTTAATTCTAATATACTTACTAGAGAACGGAATATCATGCGGTATATAAATTAGAGCAATGTCGTTGAAGCCCTGGCTGTAATATGGATGTACCAACGCTTGAGTCGCCATCATGGACACACCGGAACCTCGATAAGAATCGTAGCTTATCCCATACGGGATGTTAATGATACCGAAAGTTACCAAAAATCTTTTTGGGTAGTTTTCCGCACAATGAGCGGCCGTGAGAACCCATCTTTTTGATAAGATTGTGCCTCCGCATTGTCCGATGTTTCCGTTACCTAGGATTTGTTGCACCAGTGCCATGTACGGAAAATCTCCGAGTCTTGCATATAGTCCGCCCGCTATTCTAGTTGAATCTTCTAGATTTATCATTTAGAAAAAATTACTTAAATATTGTTCTGAATACAATATATATATATGTACTACTAAATACTTATCATAATTACTCAGGCCTTTCACGAAATTATAGTCAGGTGTATGTGTGCATGCATGGGACTGACTTTGAATATATTGACACATTGTTAATGAAATTAGAAAATGCAAAAATATTTTCACATTTTTCAAATTCATGATGGATTATTCCGTAAATTTGAGAACGTTATTCCGATAAAACTTTAAAATGTAAGATTCTCGAGAAATATTACTCCAAAAAAAGAAATTTATTTATAATTTGTGTACAATAACTTGTATAACTTATGCAAACTTATATTAGTTTCGGACATATAACTATACTAGGATTTTGTGTAACTACTTGTAACGAACTCAAGGAACTATCGCTGCAGTCCAAGAATTTTCCTTTTATAAGACTCGATAAGATGTTTCTGCTTTGCTGGAAAATTTGAATATTCCTAGCATGCTAGGAAATCCGTAGAACATACATACGCATCTAAATCTTTCGTTTTTACTGTCCGACTGAGGCTGGATTGTTCCACCTTTCGATAAACTTCAGCAGATAAAACGTATTTCAGAAAACTATATGCTTTTTAAAATAAATTTTAAATATTAATGATATATTAATATCTAAAATTAATGATATATTAATATCTAAAAAATGTCTTACTCTCTTACTCTTTTATGCTGTTACTTTTTTACTCTTTTGTGTTTATCCAATAGATAAATTATCATATATAGTTTATCTAAAAATGGAACAACCGGCCCTGAGAATGATAAACCAAGATAAGTGTGTGTTTAATGTGTAACCTTTCATAGAGTAGCTTAAATTCGTTCAAAGTGAATTCTAGGGCATTATCGAACAGGAATTCTTTGGATTTACCTAAGCCATGAGTATTCCAAAGTGCCCTAACTACATGAGTACCCAAAATTTTCCTCGAAACCGTTCCATTTTCATCTGAAACATTTTTTTAAATTATCGGTGATTTCGGAGAAAATTAATTGTATTACACATACACAAGGTATACCTATTTTAATTATATATATATATATATAAAATAATATATATAATATATATATATATATATAT